CCCCTGCTGCCAGCACCAGATGCTCTTCTAACAGTGTATGCCCGTGGTCACCAACCCATCAATCGCGATTGACTGGTCGATCGGGAGGGCCCGACCAGTCGATCACGAGGCATTCAGGGCCCCCCCCCCAATTTCCTCCCTCCCCCCCCAAGAAGCCCCACTACTTACCTCCAGCGACAGTGGAGGTAGTGTGACGTAGTGTTGGGACCTTGCTGGGGCTGGGAGCGACCTCTGCTGTCTGTAGCAGGACCCAGCAGGGCAGGGGGTGAGTCATTATGCAAAGGGGGCTCCAAGCCTGTCTGACCACCTAACCCCCAGGGAGAGAAACAAAGGAAGGTGGATGCCGCCCTTGGCTGGGAGCAGGGCTGGAAGAGAGTTAGTCAGTCTCTGTCTGGTATCATGGAGGAAGCAGCCTAGGCAACAGGCTGGGGTTTAGGAGCTGAGACCTCCCCTCCCCCCATATCAAGGGGGGCTGAGGCATCCTAGGCCTGCCCTGGAACCAGATGACATCTGTGCTGTGCTGTATCCTGGAGAGGCAATAAACTCCCTCTATTCCACCGGCTGGTGGAGTCTGTTCGTGCCATTTTGGGGGTGCAGGAGACAGGGGAACCCCAACTCGCCGTCGCAGGTAGTGCCGGCTTTCTGCGGGGTGGATGAAAGTCTGGCAGCTGCGTGCCACTTCCGGGGTTTCAGGAAGTGCACTGGCTGCTCCCCCTCCCCCAAACAGCCAGCGCGGTATCTGAAAGGCCATGTCTGTGGCGTGCCGGGGACATCCTTCCCCTGCGGGGAGTAGGAGACCCCAGAGGAGGCGCATGCAGACTTCCCTCCTCTGCGAGGTGGGGGACAGGGTAGGAGTCCCTGGAGGAGGTTCTTGCTGGAACGTCCTTCCCCTGCTGGGCGGATAGAAGTCCCTGGAGGAGGTGTGCGCGGACTTTCCTCCTCTGCGGGGGAGGGGAGAGAGTAGGAGTCCCTGGAGGAGGTGTGTGCCGAGACATCCTTCCCCTGCAGGAGGGGAAGGGGGGTAAG